CAGCAGAATAAAGGCTGCATGGCGAGCTGTGGAGAATTCAGAAATCGTTTTGTCATTAGCAAGTCGACTCTACTTACTCGGAAACTAAACAACAAGAATTACGTTCAAGGGGCTCGATTCAAACTAACGCAAGAAGAAGGGCAGAAAACCAAACACGTATTTTATTCCCTCCCTTGATCCAACAAAACCAAAGTACATCTCCAGTTCAGCAAACCTGACCAGAAGGCGTAGGTGAAGTGTTCCTTCCATTAATTACTCTGCTATTCTGCTCAAGGGTTTCATCTTCCCTGAAATTTTCGTCTTAATTGAAAATAAACATACGAATTGGTGGGCAAAGGGCAACCAGTCGTGTTCTGTCGTAGCAGCATTTTTTTTCTACTTTAGCCCACTAACTTATTATCTAAATTTATCCCAAATTTATAGCCCGCATCGATTTTTCGCCGTGCAAATCGTGCTGGTCATGCCCACACTAATGGAAACAAATCGAGATGGGGTCATAATGCAGGGGACTAAACACCCAATGAAATGACAATCATAGTTCTGCCTTCTTACTCTCGAGTCCATGCAATTCCTTTAAGTTTCAACTCAACGCTTGGTTTGGCAATGGCCACCTGATACTTTGGAACTTGCCCTAATTTGCAGCAACAAAACCACGACCGGCTTGTCTGACAAAGTTTCTCTTCTCCAAGTTCCAAAGTTGAAATTCCTTTCTTTCACCAGGGTTGCTCAAATTGTTGTGATCATTTTACTGTAATTTGAGCCTCTCACTGTAAACGAAGATGCTGGTGACCATGAATCATGGGAGGTCCCGCAAATGTAACCACAAACAAAACTAACAAACTACTGAACTGTGAAGTAATTCAAATAAAACCAGAACTGTGAAGTTAACTGAATCAATACATATTAATCTACGGTATTAAAATGAAGTTTGCCTCTTAATGCATCGTTCTGTCCTCTGACGTAAACAATATGAGGCCAGACTGGACAAAATATGAGTTAGAGTACTTTCACTCTGTGTAATATTTGCATGAAATTTGCTTTAGTGCTTGACGTGTATATTTGCAGAAAGGATTGTATCAAGCATGGCAAATTGTGAAATAATTTGAGAATTTGCAAATTTTCGTTCCGTCAAAAGCCAGAAAATGCGAATTTATAAGTGCATGTCTACCATTCCACTGTTATTAGCATAAAATATGCTAGTTAAGTACCTTGTGCTTGTTAACAACCCTTGATTTTGTCGTCAACTAATTATACATTTAATTTGCATTAATTTAATAGTTCAGAGAAATTACAAAGAAAATCCGTCATCCTCATTTCTCCGTCATTGTCAGAGGAACAAAGTCAAAATGTGGAGTACGCAGTTGAAAAGTGAAAAGTGCAAGTGTTTCATATATTGGAAGCTATACTGTCACAGGCGTAGGCGATATCCACACATTTCAACGATTTAAAAGTTTGACTTGTTCGTAATTTGGGCAACTGGCAGGATTTGCTACTGTCTCGTCGGCCGTACAGGTTGTGTGCCAATCTCATCAAAAGTTCCAGCGGGGGTCCGTTTCTCCTTCCTTCAATTTTCCGGCTCCACTTTTCATCCCACTTCGACTTTCATTTCATCTGACTCCACAAAATACTGCTCCAATCTCACATTACCACCAATCACTACCACCACCACCTTCCAAGTCAACTTTCACCGGTCGTAGGTACAGGCAGCTCGCAAATAATGTGTCTCTTGCACCTCTGGACATAAGTATTGAGTCGTGATTGGCAAGAAGGTGTTGAGACCAGTTGTGTATTACGTGGATATAATACGCTGGCCAACGCTGAAAGAGCTGAAAGAACAACAACAAGGCCCCGTCATTCAGGGCAGCTCTCACTTTCCGCTGGAGCTAATCGATAATTAAATTAGTAGGCCTGAAGCCTATCCTTTCCGTCAGCTAAAGGTTTCTCAAATTTTATCTGACCTTTGATTTTCCATGCAATGCAAACATGCAAAGCTGGCTCAACGGAGGAGTGAATGTGAACATGAAAGCAGGTTCCTGCCCAAATAGCGAATGATTATATGAGTTTTGTTAAATGGATGGTTCTATTTTTGCACAAACAATCTCCCCAAAAGTAGCGGAGGGTATATACGTCGTCAAGTATGGCAGAGTCTAGAAAATCAGAGTGTTATTAGAGGACGAGAGCGCAATCAGGAACCAGACTCGCGATCAGTCAACCGAGCACATTCTTGTCACGATACTTTTAATCCGTCTGTTTAGTTGGCAAGTTTGGGGTAAAGTGGAGCATAAAACTTGCTCCTTTCACGTTCCGCATAGCTAAAAATTATAGACCTCTGCCTCTTATCCATGCATGATGAAGTATTTACGTGACAAGCGTCAAGTAATCAATGCACATGCAGTCAAATCGAGTGTCACATTTTGAACTGCAGAGGCGGAGGATGATCCGTAAAATTGTAATAATAATAATGATTTCAGGAATCTCGAGCACGTCATCGTCTGACGTTATCATTTTTCAAATGGTGGTATTTTGGCACACTGGCGGACATTTAGATAAACCTGCAAACATTAATTTCAATACAGATGAAGCACACCGAGTTCTGGTGCACTTTCGCAGGTGAGTGAAAGTACGTAAGCGAGATTTCTGTGCCAAAATGCCTCCGCCCAAGTGACAACACTCACATCGGGCTGTAAATTTATCTTCACCATTGACCCACATCCATGTACGGCACCTCCTTCCTTCATCCCACCAGCAGCCCCACGAGCAGCAAAAGTAGATGTACAGTCGTCTTTCATCTTCCTCTCTTGGGGCATATTTTGCTGATTTGTAGCTTGTTTTTTTAAATTGGATTTATGTATAAGCTTTCCTCCTGAATGGTTTGTATAATCCAAATTCTTTGGTCGGCGTGGTTAAATGAGCAGGGCTGAGAATAATTGAGCAATTCGCATCTAGTAAATTACTTACCTCGTTGTTTTCCACGAACCTCATCAATAAATGAATTTGCAGGGTTTTGCAATGTAAAAAATGGCAATATTCAACTCGCCGTTGTACATAAAAACTTAAAGAGCCAACAGTGTAGCTAATATCTCTTTTATTTTGGTTCCTTTTCCAGTAAAATTGTTGTGGAATGTACATATTTTGAACTAACGGTTTGACTTAAGTAATAGATTTTGTATGTATGTATTACAACAACAACACTCGCTAAATGTGTATACGGTTTATCATTTATCTACGACACATTGAATGTTTGCTTGTAAATATAGTAAGTAAATGACTCCAACAACAAAGTGTTCGACGGGGTGTAGTGCTATAATTTTACGAAGATTATATGTGTCCACCAACGCAATGAGTATTTAATTCACGTCAATTTCACGAGTCCACGATTTGGGCATGCTATTCATTCACTTGCTAAAAGTCTTTTGTCTTTCGTTCTCGAATAATAAATAAAATGCAAAATGAACGGAACTCAAAATATGAAAAGAAAAATAAGAGACACAACAGAAGGAAATTATTTTGACCAAAACAAGTATTATTATTATTCACTAGTATGAATATATATATATATAAATAAATATATATCGGTATATTTGGATGCTGAAAAAAATCATAAAATAATAAATTAAAAGTTTAATAGTGAAATAAAATAATAAAAATTACAAATCAAATTTTAATAACGATGTAAATATGTAGTAGCACTTTTAAAACAGCTTTCATTGGTTCAATGTATGTTCAAAGATTATGAATTAATTTTTAAAGTAATTAAAATGTATATGATTTAGAGATGTGTGTGACTTACACGTAATAAATAATTACCCATTAAGGATTAAAAGTTTTGCCCTAATTACGTACTTCTATCTATGCCTGTCTGTATGTAGATATTTCCTTTCGATATAAATATTTGTTTAATTTTTATGAAATGTGATAAAATTAAATTAGTTTTGAATCACCATAAAATTAAAATTAGTAAAGTATTCAAAAATTAATGCGAACAATACAAATTAAGTGAACGATTAAATTAGTAAGTTGTGAATACTGAAATCGAGGATTAAAAATTATCGTTATCACCATTTTAACTTGTTCTGCGAATTAAGATAGTTACAAATTTAGGACTGCTGCGTCATTCAATCCATATTTATGTATGTGCAGTTATCAATTTTAGAAGTAAGTAAATGTATTATTTTTAAGTACATACCTCGGATCTGTCGTCCTGATAAATAACATTTTTTTCTTACTCCATTGCACGTCATCACCGTTGCAGGAATTGTTTGAAGTGGCGTTAAATTAATTATCCCAAGTTAAAAGAAAGTCAAAAACAATTGGGTGTATGCAGCAGGGAACTGATACAAACTTTCAGTTGCCCAATCATTTTTTTGTCGCTGTTTCCCATTTCCTGTTAATTATGCGTCATTGACACAAAAGCCCTTTGGTCGTAAAAACGTTGTTTTCTTTATGCTACGTAATGTAATAGATATTAATATAACTTTTTTGTGGCTAATTTTAGTTCCCCTAAAAATCACACTGAAAATACATACTACCACTTAATACTCTTCATCAGACCAGTAAATAATCATCATGTTTCTGCCATCGCGCAAATAAGTATATGCATTTCAATCATTTCCTTGTGTGTGTTTGTGGGTTCTAAAAACTTTCTACTTTCACTTTATGCATGTATTTAGTAGTCAGTCAGAAACTTCACAAAATTTCCAACAGGATGATGAAATATGCCAGAGGGAAAATAATATGAGCAGTGCAAGAAGGAAATTTATGCTTCTCTTTTCATACCACAGTTTACGTAGAATCAGATTATTTTACCCACCACGAGATACATTATGCAAGCTCATGCAGATGCACACACGGGTAGAAAATTGGCCAATCTGCGCAACGAATTAATCGGTGAAGTAGAGGATTGTGCTAATAATCTAGATATGGATTATGTATGCTTCAATCCATCATCAGCATAGTAGAAAAAAGCACAAAAGCTCAATTAAAACCCACACAAAAACTTGTTAATTTTCACATTTTTTGATTTTAATGCCGTTAATTTTATAAATTACAATTTCAGATTTAGGTAAAAATCATGCTTTCTTTTATTGTAGCCTTAGCTTCATATCCCATCGATAGAGTCTCGTCTGTTTGTATTTGGTGATGGATTGTTTCACTCGGTTTGGAATTAGAAGATGATAAATTTATCATTGGGATAAAGCCTCATTTTTTAGAGAATATTATTCTTCTGTCTGTCATATTTTATTATTTGCCTGCAGATTTCTAACAAGGATTGAGTCCGACGCACTATTAAATCTATTTTAGCAGCAACAATTAGTAGTAAAAGGCCTACTCTGAATGGTGAAATTTAAATTGTTCTTTGAAAACAAGCACAAAGAGAACATGTCAACGATTTGTAGTTGAGTATACAATTATCAGCTAATATGTATGACTCCAATCTAGTCAAGTAAGTAATTCAAATTTACACCAAAAAGCGGCTCCTCAACAACAACAACAACTACAATCAACAAACTTATCGTTTTAATTAGCAAAATAGTAAACTATTATTTACTTCTAGGAAACTACCGCTGCGGAAAAACAGTAGCTTCGAATATCTGGAGAGTTTAGAAAAGGGAAGTTGTTTACGACTCACAAAAGTAAAGCTGGAAGGTAGCAACTCGGGGAATATGCTACGATCTATTAAGAATAATAGTTTGTAAACTCGTCGCCCAGACAAAGAAGAACATTTCTGAGGGAATTATTCGAATATATAACGACCGCAATAAGTAGTATTGCCACACATATACATAAATATAGAGTAGTAGTTCACTAGTAATGATAATATTAATAATGATTAATGAGTATAACCTGTGTGTCAATGTCCAGATCCAGAGGGTTTTTTTGAGACGAGGTAGGTTGAGTAGTACAGATGGATTATTTGTTATATTGAAAATGTGAAAACATGGAAATTAAATCGGAGTTGGTCGGGTGAGAAATAAGTAAAAACCACGCAAAAAATAAGTCAACACATAAACCAAGTTCAACAGATAGCAGTATTTTAATTCAATGACAGTGACGGATTAATTATAATTATAAAATCAAGAAATTAACAATCTGAAATTTCGTATTTAATAAATCAAACCAATATTAATAATTCCAATCAATCAAAGCACAAAGACAAATTTGAAATCAATAGTAACAACAAAGGTTAGATAACACACCAAAGAATCCGGAAAATAAATCCTTCATAAAATTGTTGGGTAATGAGAGATTAAAGCTAAACAGAGAGTGTATTTGTGACTATAATCAACACCAATTAATTAGATACGTAAGTAATTAATTACACCACTTAACAGCAAAAACTAATATGCCAACAATTGCGCACAATGGTTAAACACAGATCTACTCACAATAATGATAGGATAGGAGAGAAAAAGAGAGAGAGAGAGAGAGAGACGCTCACATATTAACAACTTTTTACGGAATCTAATGAGACATTATTTTTCCAGAGTTGTCCACGACCATGTTGTCTGTGTATTAAGTATGTTCTGCTTTTTTTAAACAATGGAGAGTCTGTCGTGTCAGTGTCATCATCCGATTGCATTTTTTTCGTCATATTTAAATACTACCAGAAAAGTGCTTGACTTTCTCAACATTTTTTTGTATGGTTAACTCTTAAACAAGAATTATTATTTTTTGAACCTAGCTAAAAGTGAAGTTATCATAAGTAATTAAATTGATGATATAATAATGTAACGAGACCTGACTCAAGAACTAACTAACTAAAGGGAGACGACATACATATACATTTAGTAACACGTGGCCTCTTCATATCCTTTTGACTTTCACTAACTCACTCTCCCACCTACTTTGTCTGCTTAGTAAAGTATGTATCCATTTGACCAACAACAGCGGCGTAAATATATCAATGTACTTGTATGCAACAACAACAACGCTACGAAGAAGAGACGCACACAGAGTTCAAATGTCCACATATGCATAATTTAAAAGAGAGAAAGAGAGAGAGAGAGAGAGGAACAACAACTTTTTGGAGGAGGAATGGAAATTGCTGAGAAATATTATACCTTGATTATGTAATCACTACTGACTGTGCGGCGTAAGTGTACGTAGATACGTAAGTAAGTGCATTATTACGGAGGAGAGAAAGAGGTGGAGAGAAATTGAAGAGCTCTACTCATTTTTTAATAATATAGCCACGGGGTAGACCAACTTTTGAGAATTCAGCAGCCATCATCATCACCATCTTTCAATTGGAAATATGTTTCCCACACACAGCAACGCAATCCAGTATTGAATATAACTTTTTGTGAAAAGTTTTTTTTTATGCTGTCAAATTTTTTTCTCGTGGATTTATATAATCGTCATTCACCTCTTCAAATAGATCTAAATTTACGATATTCTAAAAGTACTTCTCCTGTAATTTCTTATTTCTTGCAAAAATACAAATGCTAGCTGTTGGCAAAGAGTCTTTGTGAAACTTTTTTAGGAGATATTATTATATTCGTGTCCAGACCTGAACTACATTCATCATCTTCATCGTTACCCATGCACAACAACGGTCCTCGCCTATATTTAACCCCATCGCCCTTGAGTTTTGATTGCTCTTTTGCTATATAATTGCTGATTTTATAGAATCATATGTATGTACATTTCATATAAAATGTATCCCGGGCTGCTAAGTAAGTAGTTGCTTTAGTTGATTTTAATAATTTCCTCCTAATTTAATTAACTGCCTCGAAATGAGGTTGAATTTAAGTAAATAAGAACCCGATTTTTTTCTTATAGATTTTTTAACACCGAGCTGCATATACATATTTATGTAAGTAGTACGATTCTCAACAAGCACAACAATAATTTATACTTTGTATGTACGGCTATATGTAGAGCTGGAATCGGTAATTAGATTTATATTCTCTCTTTTTCAGTCTGTCATTTCAGGAGTCTGTCTGACGGCCGATTGATTACTGATTTTATATTTTTCAACAACTTTTGTCCTATGCCAGTGATTAGAAATTGAAGGTGGCTGTGGTACATTGTAACGGTTGTGGTGTGATGGTGCATGTTGTTGTTTTATGACAAATCATCCCAGTCATCATCATATTTTTGAAGTAATGAGTGAACGAATGTATGTACGAACGAACAAAGAAATGACAATCTCGCATCACTTCCCTGCAGGCATTTCTACACAATTATGTACATAAACAGTGTGTCTCATGTGATGGATAACTCCAATTTTTTGAAAGTATCCCTCTCATATTATTCGTCAACTTCCCCGCAGGAAAATGGAACCAATTTCCCCTCAGAGCAGCAGAGCGATATGTTTTAGTTGCAGTTAGGAGATCATATATCGAGTATCGTGGTTGCCTTTCACTGAATCACTTTGTTTTAAACTAATACTTTCTCTCTCTTGAAATTTAATAACACCGAGTCGTCACATTCTTGGAAAATAAATTGCAGAAAAAGTGGTGAGGTAAAACAGCTCTTTCGAGGAGTTTGTAATGTCCTGAGAGAGAGTTTTCAAAATAAGAGGAGGATTCAGAGAACATGTTTTTTTGGAAATAGAATGTCGCGAACCTGTGCATATACTGACTAGAATTTGCGTAATAGATTCTCATATCCTTCTTACCTGTGGTATCGAGGCTTAACATACATTAATCTGACTTACCTATATCAACGTTTAAAAGTAGTACTCGTACATAAGTATTAGTAGTAGACGTAGTAGTGGTACCTTCTTGGATCTAATTTCAGTTCAGATGATGCTCCTCAGGGTAATTGGTTCCATGCTCCGGATAAGCAACGCGTACGTGTACGTACACAAAGCATGCCTGTCGCATCATCCCGGTTTAGGACAATAATGTTTTGATTTGAAAATCAAAATGATGAAAATGTGACTCTGAGCCTGAGCTGTAAAATGCATATCGTGGTTGTCCAAGTTGTCATGTCATTTTTTAAATCCAGTTTGTGGTATTATTTTTGTTATGGGTGAATATGAAGCAATAAGACGATGACTGCACCCACAAATAAGTAAGACGGATGCAACAACACACGCACGCACAGAGGTTTAGAGGTTAAAAAGACAGACGCAACACTTTTGCTTGGGATGGGGAACAATAAATGAGAGGTGTGCTTGGTTACTACATAGGTAACGTGTTAATATATATAGCTATAGCTTTATTAAACTTAAGTTTGTGACTGTGTTAAGATATCAAGAAGGTAAATATTAATGGTAAACATCAACAATCAATCAACACCAAGACTCAAAGGTATAACACTGAAATACGAATATTACTAAATGACACTGAGAGACTGAGTGTGACTTGTTTCGTTAACTGTGACTGAGAGACTTTGCAACTAAAGCTATAAACACGAACAACTAACACTGCTCAATAACTTTCACGTTTTAGTATCCACTTATTACAATAAAAGTCAAAAATTTTAGCGACTCTTCTTCAATCCTCTCTCCGTCCCAGGTGGGAGAATAACAAGTTTATCTATTTCGTAGGACCAGCAGCAGCAGGAGCTTTGTATAAATTATGGTGTAATTTAATTGCATAATGCTTAATAATTATGCACATGATGTTAAAAGCAGCAAGAACAATATGCATGCCTTTGACGATGTACATACGACCATAAGAGTTATTTTGTCTTAAACTTTGCCCTGTCTGCTTTCCTTCCTCGTCGTCGTCTAAACTATTATTTTTGTGTGTGTAAGGATGAGCGGAGGAGGAGAGAGTTCGCAATTAATAAGGGTTAATCATAATGTACAAGAGAGTGAAGGATGGTGGTGACAACTCTCAGCAATCCCTTGTAAATAGCAGCAGATGATGATGGTCAATTAAGAAACTAGTCAAGAGGGTAACCTAATATGTATGATGACAAATAAACTAGATAACAGGGTGCGTATGTGCACCTCTGTGTGTGTAATAATAATGCAATAATTTAAGATAACCAACTTTAATAACAATTAAGTCAACACTATTATGAAGAAGAAGACTCCATATCCTCATATGGAGATAAACTAACTGACTCACGCGGACGAACCAACTATATTTATCGAAGAACTAATCCAGCAATTATTATTTCAACAAAACTGAAGCATATTAATTAAGTATCAAAGAGAGATGGAGAGTTTCGAATGTTTATCTTTTTTCTTTTCATTATTCCTTCGCTATCTGTCCCCTCGTTTTCTCAGAGAGAGAGAGAAAGTGAGAGGGGTGTGTTTTTTGTATGACGACGTGTCGACGAGGTTGTTTCGTGGTAGTAGATATACTTTTAGTATTTATGAGATGGTGCCAGTAGTTCAATCAATCAATATTCACCCATTTTCACCTCATTTTCATCCCATTTCATAAGAAATTGTCTCTTTCCATATCTCGTAAATCTTATCTAACTATAACCTGTAATAATTAATTCGAAACTACTAAATTGTAATCTGTTTAATGTCCAAAAACTTTAAAACTTTAAATGTTTTCAAAACTTGGAAATCTTAGCAATCTAAGTTGCTAAAACGTCTCAAGTTGTAACTAATAATATGTAATAAGTATGTAATAATTAATTAATTATGAAGTAACACTATAATATGAGTTGTAATTAATTAAGTAGTTTCTTTCTTTGTTTTGTTTAGTTTGTTTGGTGTCGGACTAGAATGATCTCTCTGACTCGAATTATGTTCTTTCCTGTTTGTGACTGAATAAAAACCTCGCAATATAATAACCGACCGACTGACCTCTTTTCAAATGACGGACACACAGTCTCCGCGTGCTAGTTTTTATAATAATGAATTTATGCTAATATGAAGTAATAAGTACTGTAGACATTAAAATATTACGTAAAAATCCCTCTGTCGCTCCTTCAACTCCAGACCAGGACCAGACGAATGAATATCAATCAAGTGATGACGGGGGTGGTTTTGTGGGAGGTTCGGTGGGCGTGGGGCAACGGGCTGAATGAGTAGGAGGAGTTGTAGTAGTGTAGCAGAAGTAACAACTGATAATGAGATGATAACTTTTGGTATTGTTTAGTATGTAGTGGTTGTTGTTTCATTGTTCTTGTTTTTTTCAGTATGTTGTTTTTTGGGAGAAAGTGAATTTACGCAGTTTTGGTCTTATTAGTCTTGAAAGAGACCTGAAGAACGCGGTTTCCAAGGGTGTACCCATTCAAGGATTGGATCGCCACTACTGCCTCGTCATAGTTGGTCATGGTCACGAAACCGAAGCCTTTGCACTTGTTCGTCTGTAAATCTCGAATCACTTTCACGCTCTGAACTGCGCCAAAGGGTCCAAACAACTGCCACAGCACGTTTTCTTCCGTTTCCGGTGCCAAGTTGTAGACAAATATGCACCAGCCCGCACCGTTCATTGCGTTTCCCGGAATGACTGTGTTGGCAAGCAGGTCACCTGCCAGCGGTGAGTACCTGTGGGGTTCAAAAATAAGGTCGAGACTTAAAACAACTTGATTCCCACATGTTTTCTATTGGACATTTAAGCCCTGCCGAGTTCTTGTTTTTTTGTGAGTGAAAAAAGACACACACAGTGTTTATACATATTTTGCACATTTGCAATTTTGCATAATTATTATTAATATTATCCTGAAACACACTTCTACTCACTACCGGTTGCATATGAATCTCATCCGTGCTTATTGTTGTGGGGTCTCTCCAATAATTACATCGTGTTATTATATACCCACCCACACCTGCAGATTGTGGTAAATCCAACCAAAGTCAACACGTACATTTATGCAGATTTGAGACATTTCCGTATATTTCTCCCTTTCAGTTATTCTTTGGCCGCGTCTCTCGACTTAAATTTAAGTAGTCAGCGAAAACATACCATACTAAAAAAAGAAAGCGAGTAATAATAACTGATATGTAACTAATTTTGAAAAAACCATGAGCAAATATTTGAACAGTAGAAAGGGAGAATAATAATAGAAAATAGGAAATGACCAAAATCAATACTTTATCATAAAAAGCCAAGGAAGGGTTGAGTGTTACTCAGGTTTGTACAAACAGGTGGGAAATAAACAGAAAGATTAGATACTGACCTCTGCAACCCTTTGTTTACGGCCATCATACTGGCCTTGCCAGTGCTAAAATCAAACAGAGAGAAAGCGAGGTAAGAACCGAAATTGGAACAATCAATAAGATGATAATAATAATAATAATAACAATAATAATAATAAGTAATAATAATCAGTCAATAAATACATATCCAAGAGCGGAGTCATTATAAAAAGTATTTAATTATGATAATAACAGATGCGTGGAAAATAAGTAAAGGTATCAAATTCATAAATTTGTAGCGCAGGCGATAAGAAGAGTACCCAAGCAGCCAAGCAAACATTTAGGCTTAAATATGTAGCATTGCAGACACGAATAATCAATTTTTTTTACAGAATCTGGCAATATAAAAAAAAATAAGAAAACGATGACAATGCTGTAAAGAATAAGTTGTAAGAATGAGGCAGCAAATAGGAAGGCTAAATGTAGAAAGAAGAGATTAGGACGACGAGCCATTACGATATAAAGGTGACAAAGCAACACTTCTGCGCTATGTGTCACTGATGAGGAAAATCACTAGTGTCAATTACCATGACACAAAAATGACAAAAGGTTGCTGATGCAGCAACCGATGGAGAAAGCACAAAATTTTCTCCTTGGTCACACACACACACACACAGGAAAGAAGGGAAACTACGCTAGTTTATACTCGTCTCGTCACGTCAATATCTCTCAAAGGTCGTCCTGTTTCCTAGTCTATTTCTCCTTTTTTGATTGAGCAAAAGGCTGCAGGCATTTTAGGCTTATATTCCTCCTCAGATTGAGTAAAGTCAGAGTAGAGATGCGAGACAAGGATTATTCTGTACGTATCACGACGACGACGATGTATGTGTGCCGACTAATTAGTTGTGACAACATCGAGTGCATGCAATTTCTTTTGACATTTTCGTCTCAATGTAGACACTTCCTAGACTACAATTAGTCTGTCCCCATATCAAAAGAGATACATGTCTAGGCATACTCACATATCAGATTTCTTAAGGTTGTAGTTAATTGAGAATGTCGCAAGTATATGCTTGTCACCAATTCATCAAATGATTCAAAGCCTTCAAATTCCACGAGTGGTGAGGGACGTGCGAGGGAAGAAAAATGTTTTGCTTTGTTCTTCCCATTATTGATGGATTGGGGGAAAGTGAAGCGTTAAAACAACTACAAATGTTGAGACGAGTTGAAAAATGTGCCTCAATCTGCCAAACATTTCTCTTTTATTTTCTATTTCTGGTGTTTGGAATGCCAAACAGATCGGATCCCTCTGTATTCACGGTGACAAGGAACGAAAATGCTGCATGCAGCATGCATACATATTCATGTACATGACCGTGTCTCGTTCCCCATCAAATAAAATTAACCTAAACTTGGGATTATAAGACACACTTTGGGATTTTACGTAGGCCCAAGATGATGAAGAACAGCATTGAGAAAGAAACCTTCTCGGTGGTGGTGCTGTGCTGAATTGGAGCTGAATGATTAATTTGGAATCCGTGGTGTGACAGATCTATGTATCACGAAAGGACAAGTGGTATACGAGACAGTAAAGGAGGAGACTCTTTTTCGTTCTATGTAAAAGAGGGCATGTTACGAGTAATGCAACTTCGCTGCTGCTCGGATTATCTGTTCATCTCTTGGGGAAATTATGCAAACCCTATTTACTGCAGTCTGGACCAATTATGGGGCCTAATTTGAACTCGAGAAGAAGAGTTGTATCCTCCGAGAAAAGAAACTATCTCACTTTGTTTAATACTGCAATTCTGGTAAATTATTTGTTGAGCTGAGGTTCTGAACTGTGAAATGAATGCCAGAATGAATTTAAATTCCAAATGATCACAATAAAGTTGAGCTTAACTGCCAGATAGATTTAAATCTGCCACATTCATCTGCCATTAAACTAAACTGGTTACCCGAATCAGTCTCCTCCGATATACGCGAAAGAGGTATACGTACATAACTCCCGATAAGTTTTATGTGTAGTCTCTTCGTGTCAGCACTCCATCGTTTTCTGCATTCGCCTCTTTTTTTGTCTGCCAGTCGTATATACACATATGCACATATAGGTATCCGCATAAGCAAAAAGCAACGAAATACATACATACATTCAACTTTGAATACACATTTTTGCAACTTTTTGCCCGAGTGAAGTAATGCAACCACGGTTGGCCACTTTTTGTGCCACTTATTTCAGGACAATTAACCACGTTACCTCACTGGAGATGACTCATTACTGCTTTGTTTTGAGGATAATTGAAGAATAATAAACCGAAGCAGAGGTATGAGAGTGATTTCAGATGGATGGATGGATGGATGGACGGTGCGTCGTTAAAAAATGGTACATAACAACTAATAATTAGTAATAATTGATAATAATATAATAATAAATGCAGAATAAATATAAAAAAGGCGGAGCTATTGTTGCCCCCAACTCAGTCAGTACAGAAAAATCGATACGAACGACTCTTTGCTTGACTCGTTTGGAGAAAGGCTCTTAAAAGATTTGAAGGAAGAAGAGAACGAGAAATTAAATAAGACAGGTAAGACGAGGAGGAGACCAAGCCATGAGAACTCACAGAGAAAGCAGGCGAGATGGATGACGGAGATCTCGAGTGAGTTGAAAGAAAGGAGAGGAAGAAGTAAAAGTAGGACCATGCGGCTGATGGGAGGAAAGTGGTCTACACTCATTACACAAGGGGACTCCTCAAGGTAAAGTTTAATTAAAGGAGGAGAAGAAACTCAAATTCAAAGTCAAAGTAATGAAGGGTGAAAAATTAGAAATTAGAAAAACTCATTACGGCTTTTCCAAGATATTATGTATAACCTCGCTCTCTTCTCGGGGAGGGCTCTCACAAATCACGTCCACTCACCCCGAGTAGTCTCCCCCGCAATCTGAATATCGTATTGTATTGGACTCGAGGAAGGAGAAAGTACAAGTAAGTAAGCAGGGCTTTAATAAGAGTAATAAGGGCGAGAAAGGAGCAAAAGGTTTTTTTTCAGCTCACAAATTAAAAGGAAACAAAAAATGATAACGAGACTCGTACAAATACTGTATGCCTGCCTGCCTGCCTGCCTGGTAGTGGTGGTGGTGGTTGTTGGCTGGTTGGTATTTCTACATATTTTTGTGCTACATACAACCACGATTAAAGAAAAGTGTGGAGGGAAGAGAGGTAAGGGAAAAAAGGATGACGATGAAGATGAGAGTCAAAATTTATAAAAAACGGAAATAATTTTTTTGCACATTATTTTTTTTGGGGGGGATTTTCATATTAAATTGTCGTTGATGGCACCAACTGAGATGAGCTGCAGCAGTAGCTCACCTGGAAAGTGGAGAAAGAGGAATGTACCGCAGTCGGCCTGTGGCGTGGTGAATGGGGCCGCCGAACCGTCGCGCCGCGGCAGCTGCAGCCTGCGGAGCCGCCAAGTACGCTGCCAGTGGGGGAAGCGCCTTTGTATTGTTGCTGGGGTTGTTTGCAAATTTGACCGTCACAGGTTCAGTTGACCCCTTTGGAATGGTTCCGTTCAGCTCCTGGATTGCTCGCTCGGCTTCCACGCGTTGGTCAAACCGGATGAAACCCACCCCTTTCGACAAACCTGGGTCAGAAAAAAATCATTAAGTTGCAACTCTCACTTGGTGGAGGGGAGTATAACATGGCCAATAAGTAGTTGGTCTTACATTATTTATTTTACTATCTTCCATCTTCCATAAATGATAAGATGGACAATTGATCCCCCCAAAGCAAACAAAGTGACACCACCACGGCACCGACCGACAAATGATTGGTACAATATGGGGAGAACAAAAAAATTAATTGGCATGCATTCTTCAAAAAGTTTATTATATAATCATAACACTAATTAATATATGTATGTATAAGAGTTTCAAGTTGTATGCAGAGTTGGGCGCGACGCTTTGCACTCTTTCCCTAATTAGTGCATTGTGCTGCTACATATGTATATGAACGCATAGGCGCTACCTATACGAATATAGGTAGTCATCGCCATTATCATTCTGAAGAATCGTTTGACTTTTGCAAATGAACACGACTGCAGACATGTTATCAGGAAACATCAGCGCATTCCTTTCCAAAGTTCTCACATCTCCCAGAGTTTCATCCACTGCTGCGTGGAACCTCAAGGAGAGAAGAAATGAGGTTGATTAGAATAAGGAAATTAGAATTAAACCCCAAAGTTTCAACTTTCCATGAAGTAACTACTCTTCCGCACCCATGAACTCAGTATGCCAAAGATAACTCTGGATTATTGAACTCCGCCGAAGGAACAGGATGGGTCCCGGCACGCAGAAAAGTTGCACTTTCTCCGCCACTCTGTGAAAATTATGTGACTTTTCATTGTCCATTCCCAAGCCATCTAACACGTCCCTTCCCTCTCCTCTCACCCTCACTGTCTTTCCCATCATCTCGTCGTCCTCCTCTCCTCCTCCCGGTGTGCCATCACTTTGGGTTACGAGAGAAAGCAAGGTGACACGTACTTTCTCCTCTGACACGTATTTATTAATTTATTTCTTTCCGTTCCATACCTTCAGTCGTCGTCCCCCTAATCCGCATGAGACGCTAGCAGCCCAAACCAATTTCAAACTTTGCATGCCTTCCCTACAACATGTCCTCCGGACGAACGCTGCAGACAGACGAGAGAGAGAAAAGAGAGACAAGGAAGAAATTGGGTATGGCCAAAACAAGGACGAAATGAAGGAAGAATCTGATATTTTTCATCTCGTAGATCACTTTCAGCTGGTCGTAAACAGTCAATCAAATCAGCGTTTGCATTTCTAGCTGACTCTTCTGTCTAGTCAGACACTGTAAATAAAAGATGGAAACAGGTGCTGGGTAGGTTGGGCGCTTGGGTGAATCCAATCCAACAAAGCAGAGGAGCAGCCTCATGTCAACTAGCCACCATCCGCCACATACTCAATATTTAGTGGCGAGTATTTGAAAGATTTAAGATTCAAAGGGAACAGACTTCAAAGCGGATTTCATTCAATATTGGAAGCTGAGTGGACATGGCTGCTCTTTCGCATCGACCGACTCATGTTTGACATGGAAGGTGTCCATGTCATCAGAATTTGACATCTTGCTCCACCAGGCAGCTTACCATCACCACCACCTCCACCACGCCACCGTGTGATTGTCTGTCTGTAAATGTCCGTCTCGGATTTCGATTTTGCCGATCTGCACTCCCACCGACAACGGACGTGATCTTCTTCGACACACACACACATACACACACATGGAACTGATCGCTCTGCCCAGAAATGAATCGATATCTTTAGCCGATCTCAACCATTCTTTGCATCAAATATCACAGCTAGCTCTTTTTCTTTCCAGCAGTGGAACATACTTCGTTAGTATGGCCAGTGGACCTTGTAACACTCCAAACTCCTCAAATACGTACGTACGTACGTATTATATGCTCACCACGATTGCTAGATGCTGCCCATTCCTTGGACGGATTTTGATTTTTTTGACCAGACCAGAGTTGTGCGGATTAGAGTCCACTTTCCCATATTCCAACACTATGACGTTCTCCCGAGGAGTCGAGGACACGAAGAACGTCTATCCAGCCAAGTCCTCATTTCCACCCACCCATCAAGCTACCACATCTTCTTGGCAATACTTGGCCTGGATTCTCTTTAGTTGGCGTCACTCTTTTTTTATTTTCTCTCATCTGGTCGTCGATGCAATTTCGCCCAACCGGGGATCTCGACGCTATGAGTGAAGGGATTGTGCAGTTGTTGTGCAATCTCAAAACTGTCTTCGAAAGAAACTACTCAATCAATGCAAATCTCCTTCGCCTTCTGCATTACACAAGGGAAAGTTTGTTGCAATTTTTATTTGCTTTCTCTCTCTCTCTCTTTTTCCCTGCTCCCTCCATTCTGCTCATCTGCTCGCTTTATTTATCTGCAAGAATTTCAGTTAAGCCCTATTTTGTTTCAGGCACGAGGCTGAATTTCCCATCTGATTAGGAGACCTACCTCCTCCCAATTTTCCCAGTAATTTAATCACTTTGCTCTTTTGTAAGGGGAAATAATCACGTAGTAAGTGCTTGCTTGGTGAATGTTTCAGTTGATAGGAATCTCGATTTGGGTCCAGTCCGACCCTCTCTGATATTTGGACAGATGGGGCAGCTACTATTCACTCGAGAGGAAGAATTTGATCGGATCTCCATGTTCTGTACTTGTGCACAGCATGTAACTCCAACAGTCATCATACAGAGAGACTTTCCGTCCGTACATATACGCGTGGTTGTTGATGGTGGTTATTAGACAGAAAAAGTTGAAGTACAGGACGTAAAGAAAATTCCAGAGGTTCCAGTGCTTTCTCCAGCTACCAGCATCACCCACTACGACTAATACTCTGCTGCTGCTGGCCATCGCTATATGGGCATCAGGATCACTCACTCACTTTCAAGTCGGATCCTTGGACGCTGTTTTTCTCCGTGTTTATCTCTTCTTCCTATGCCACCACGAATCCTATCCCTCCTCCTCCTCCTCCCTCCCATGTAACTTTTATAAGTTTTATTACATTCTGAACAACGTGGCCTAGCTTGTACATGCATATACGCGAATGGCAACATCCACGGCTCTCTCTTTCTCTCTCTCCTACTTTTGTTGAGTCCTCCTAAATCACCCACATTTGGCACAATTCCACCTCCGACTCCCCACTCGCTTCTTGAAACCTCTGGGTTTGCTGCCTTACTTCTCCCAACGACTAAACTGTATTTGTATATCTCTTTAAATGAGGCATGTTTCGTCCTCTTGTCCTCTAAAAAAGGTCCGGCGATACTCATTCACACACAACGCACTCTTCCTATCGCCAATAAATTACTCCACCAGCTCGGGTAGAATAATATGAGACGAGACGAATGTGCATGTGTGTTTGTGTAGGTGGTTGTCGTAGGAAGATGGTTTTCCTCTCTCTCTCAGACGGTAGGCTACCTGGTCGGATTTATCGTTCAGTTCTCGAGGGAAACTCTCTAAACAGTTTTCGACACGATCTCTGGTTGCTGCTTTCATTTACGACGACAAGATATCATCTGCCCATGTTATTTATGAATACTTTCTTCGCTATGGTTAACAGCCGTCGGTAGCTGTGTGTTACTCTCCTCCTGGCTCATGTTTGTATACGCTGGCATGAATACACTGCATTTTATTGCGGAACATGGCATTACATTTAGAATTGCATTTTGTTGGTATTAAATGCCACGCCACCCATCCGTTCCGTCTTCCCCGTCGACTTTTTGAGCGTTTCACTCAGAAATCGTTCAGCTACATATATCCACATGCGACGTGTACGAGTACGAGAAATGGAGAAGGGCAGGCAGGCGAAGCAGTCAAAAACCCAAATGTTTGCAATTCCTCTTACATTCGTTTCTGTCGTAGTTACCATTTTCTGTTTGCAATTTTATCCTGATGCATTTTTTACAATCACATGTTTTTGCTATAAAGTTTGATAAATTTTGTAGCTCAATCTCTTTAGATGGAAGGGAGCAACTGCTCCTGTGCTCGCTCGATTGCATGTGCACTTTGACAAAATAAGTAAATTGTTTGCCACTCAATGTGTAAATCTTTCCTTCCTATTCCTTTGAGAAGGAGAGCAATTTCGAGTTTAATTGGTGTACTGCATCCCAATCATAAGCCGTGATTATGTGGTAAGTGTTTGTTACCACAGTTGAAAGGCATCAATTTTATTTACTTTTCGCCAGTCGAATCATTCCTAAAAGCTCAAGTAAACGCTGTGTATCATGAAATTGGTCATAATAACGCACAAACTACTTGCCTATAAAATACACACATACACTGGGCAACTCGGCTGAATAAACAGAGTGCCACCAATTTACGGAGGGTATAAAGAAGGACCACGATGCAGAAACTCTTGACAACATCAGCAGCTATCAGACATAAAATTGTTTCGTGCCTATGCACCGTGTGACATTAGCAGTTTACATTTTCAGCTCGGAAAACATTGCAGTTTCGTTGTTTTTGCAAGTTTCTTCCTTTACGAAGCCGAAGAAGAGGGTGAGAGAAGAGAGAGAGGAAGCACTCCCATGCATAATGCTCACTCGTTTCAAATTGCTATTGAGCAATCCAGCGAAACGCAACTGTCACACAGTCACATTCCGTCATGCTAAAGTTGTCATCTCAACGTTAACTGACGACCGAACGAAAAACTACTAAAGTCATATTGTCCCTGATCTATTCTAGAAGTGATCATCTGCTTACGAACGGCGTCTTATTCGCCTTGTGGAGATATACATACGGCCGTATGCCCAGCAATGATGCCTCCTTCATTACACACGCGTAGCGAAAGAAATAAAACCCAGCAGGGTTATTCTGAACTCTGAACAAATATAAATAGCTAACTAACAGTATTATTATTATGCACTGGGAGCAGCTTTGAATGGTTTTTTGAACTCGTTGTATTTTATAATTGGAACGGGTGAGCATGGGGAATATAGAGTTTCATCCAAAGAAAACACGTTCCAAAATATGAAACAAAACAGTGATTTGTCGGTGTTAAATTTGCTGTGTATTTTTGAAAGTGTTGACACTTTGTATGCTTATGAGGTTTGGCCATATGTAGTTGAGGTGATTTTGATAAGTTGAGGCGCTTACTCGTACCCGTGATGTCATTTTATGCAATGGTTACAAAAATAAAATGAATACAAAAATAAAATGATTACATAAAATGATTGCATAGCATTGCCATAAATTCATAATTTACAGCTTTCACCGGCTAACTGCTTGGAACAGAAAATAAGGAAGAAATAAAAATGAAATTAAAGGATTGTCCACTTTTGCGACGCTTTGTCAGAGACAATCCTGTCTGGATTGATGAAAATGATGGATGTGATGTAGATTTCGAAGACAGCGACGATGAGTAAAAATGGTACGAGGAAGCGCGCTCAACTTATCTTTTTATATGTTTATCTTTACGGGGAAGGATGGTTTATTATATAATGAATAAAACTTAACTGTTACCCGTGATGTTATCGCAAAGAATTCTGGAGGTGATGATGCGTCCAAAGGGGTTGAATAGAGATTCCAATTCTTGCTGAGTCAAATTTTTGGGTAGCCCACTCACATATAAATTTGCTCCTTTTATCGCCTCACTACTCGGTCTCGCGTAGGAAACCTAGAAATTTACAAAAGTTGTAAATTAGTGACAAATTCAGAACATTCCAGGTTTGCTCTCATTATAAATTAATCAACAGAGGACTTTTGAATTTACGAGCAAACAAAGTATCTCCTGGTTCGCACCAGTGATCTCTTTGTCTTTCATCTCTCACAAATTCATCAAACCATTGGACAGCAAATGCTTAGTTGTTACCGCTCATGGTGCTCTGCTATGCGGCTATAATCAAGCGCTTTCAAAGCCGATTGTCTTGTCGTATTATTTTGTCCAAATCACAAATCAAACCACCTCGACAACCTCCCTCTCATCATCAACCAACATTACCTATTTACTACGTAGGGAAAGAACCAGGAAGGCTGCGAAATCTTTGAAATCCACTGTCGTCACATGCTCATAAGGAAGAATGCATATTTAGAATATGTAGAAATAGAATGCGAAGGTGGTTGGTTGGTTGGTTGGTTGGTGTGTAAATTTGTACATCATTTTACACAAAGCACAATATTTCAGAGTGCACGGAAGTGAATTGTGATTTGTGGATAAGAGAGAAGAACAAGAACCAAAAGCCACCACAGAAGAGCAGAAGCAGCAGAAGCAGTATAAAACAGTCAGCCAGTCAACCACGAAGTCGTCAGAGTCAGTCAACAAGACATAGTGAAAAGTAAATCCGAGATCCGAGGGCAAGCAAGACCAAACAAAAGTTGAGCCTTACTCTCTCTTATTATGGGAAAATAAAAGTGGATGGAAAATGGAATAAAAATAAACCTTGTGTATCTATCCTGTACATCCCGCAGTTCGTAGTATCGCCTATTTTGTATGACAATCCAAGAAATTCAGGCAGCAGAGGAGGAGAAGAAGAAGCATTGAAAGAATCCAATGGCTGCTGAGAATTCTCAAGAGTCATCATTCTCAAACAGTCTCTTCGACTCCAACAAATCCTCATTCAAACAACTCCCTTCTTCACTCAATCCCCCAATTTTTGAATTTTCACAATCCCCTTAAATCCTCTCAACTTTCACAATTTTTTGTTTCTCCACTCATCCGAGCTCTTACTTTCCCTCACTTTTCCTCTCCTAGAACAACTTGCTGCTGTTGCCAAGAAACGTGGTCACAACAGCAACAGCTCAAAATATTGAAAGCAATAATTAACCCTTTGCCTATGGACGGCGTATGTAGGTGCCAATCTCCTTATACGCACTCGTAGTATTTAGTTTTGTCGAGAAGGCTTAAAGGCACGAGGGGAAAATAAATCTTTAACGTGTCACCTCCCATCACACCACCCCTTTGCACATACATATCCTCGTTAATCACTGGTCTGCTCCAAACCAGTGGAGAAAGCTCGTGTGAATTTATATAGTCAAAATGTCGACTTTATTCCGTCTGTCATATTTGCACTCTGGCCTCAAGTGTTTTAGCACCGTCAATCTATGAGATTTCCTAAGGTGACAAAGAAGATGGAATAAAAAGTCACTTTTCCCCCAGTCAAGTCCCCCAATTTATTACAAGATCGAGTCCAATAAGATATAAAACGGAATATGCACTACTGCATAAGGCATGGTTTCAATTCCCTACATACATACATTTCTCCTATCTTCTATACTTTACTGTTTTAGTTATTGAACGAAATTGCGGAAGTTGAAGTTTTTTTCGTCTCTTTCGCCTCTCTCGTTTGGCGTCCATAAAAGAAAACAATTTTGTTCAGCCACTCATACAAATCCGGGCAGGAATAAAGCACGTTTAAATTCCAACTGTCGTTTGACAAGCTTAAGCCAGCCAATGTCAAATGAATAACGTCATTGGAAATTTTACTTGTCATTCACACAATTTGTGTGAACATTGCGCCGTTCCACCTTCTCATTCAGCTTGGAATCGTTCAGTTAGACACGCGTCTGACTAAAATAGAAAATGGGAAAAATACGACCCAAAAAGAAGAAGAAGAAGAACAGTCAATACAATACACACGCTACGACCTCACTTGCTCCTCTATGCGAGTACCCCACTCGGCCCGATTTGGTGTACAAAAGTAACTTTCTCTCGTGTTTTCCCCTCCGTCTGTTCGACTGACTGAATGGGTTTTAAGGTGAAAGTACATATGCCCCTGCAATACAGGAAGTTTACTGGAGAATAAATAAATTGATTCCAACTTATCCTTCTTGTGAAGCAAAGTAATGTTGGAAACTCCAGTAAAGTTTTCCGAATGTGTAGTCTAACTGTATCGAGTTAACAAAATTACACCAAATGTTTTCAAAGGAGCAAACACGTTGCGACATTTATGTCGCCTGTGTGACAAATAATAGTAAAGTTGAGATTCAAAAGAATGGGACGCACACATACATACATAAAAGATTTGGCCCCATTGTTTTTCTTAAGGATGAGACAAAATTTGATATTGTATTTACAAGGTGTAAATTGAGTAGAAGAATAAAGCGAGAAATAACTTAATGAAATTTCAAATCACACTTAAAAAAATGAGAAAAACTCGTTAACCGTGATCGAACAGAGATAGAGCCAGATGGCGAAAATTCAATTTCTGCTGCCTCAATACAGAAAGGATTTATTCCTACTTGTCTGAATATGTAAAAGAAATTCAAGGTCCCAAAGAGATCAATTTGAGAAAACTGAGATATCTAGAAAGTCATGGAGGAAAGATTTGCATAAAACAACTCGTTTCATTAATATTAGCTTGAACGTGGATTTGTTGAGAAACCGTGTCCAATATATGTACATACATACATCTCCGTTATAAAGACACACGTGTCGCGGCCTTTCTCTCACGAGAAGACACCCCTTGGCCAAGTTGAAGAGGCAGCCGTGTATTAAGTCTCATCGGGAAATAGACGTCGTTTCGATTGAAGGCGCAATAGTAGAATTTTCACTTGTGGATCTTGACTTATTACGACGCAGCGAGTGGAAGAAGAAGTGGAGACGAAAATAAGAGCTGCTTTCCTTCCAGAGAGCGTGGAGCGTGGAGATGAGAGAGGAAAGTCATGTACCGAAAGGTACGACATTTCCTTCGTCTAATGCATAATTAACATGATGCGAACTACGACTACGACTCTCTCCTTCGGAACAAAGAGAGAAAGAAAAGATGATAAAAAGTCGGCAAGCTGGTCGTATTTATGTCATCCTAGGAAAAGTCTTTCGTCTCTCTGCTCTTTCTTTATTACACAACTTACGTAAAGTGCGCTCACCCAAAAGTCTTTTCGTTTAAAAAAAATAATGCACTCGCTTCTTAAAACTTTTGACCTTTTAATTTCGTCTTTGTCTCACTCTAATTTTTTATATCGTAATAAATTATATTTATTTCGATATATTATTCATAGAGGGGAAAATGTACTTAAGGTTTTAGTGTGGTGATATTGAGTCCGGATAAGGTTTCATCTCTCTCTCTAGGTAGCAAAAAATGGTAAGAGTTGTCTTGTTCAATCGTTAGATCGAGTTCGATATATTTCATGTTTTATTGTACATTTGATTTGATGTTTCTTGTTTTTTCTGTGGTGGTCGTTGGCAGTAGTGCAATGGACGGTCGGTGGTGGTGTGACGGAAGAGTGAAAGGGAGCTACATCCACACTTCCTTCCATTACTTTCCCACCCAGCCAGCCAGCCAGCTACCCACCACCCACCCATCAAGAAAGCAGAAACCCAAGACCCAGGAGCAGAGACTGGCTCAAAAATCGGAAGGGAAAGTCAACCGGCTTCTGAGAGAGAAGCAGTGGTAATGGGATGGATGTTGGAGAGAATATGAAATACATAACTGTCTGCCCTCCTGTCACATATTTATCATGTGGGGTAAGTAATGGTACATTTTATATGCGGCATTATAATATGACCAGCCAGGAGGAGCGGTACGTATGAAAGTCTCCTCTCTCTCCGTGTGTGTGCTGTTTAACTTAACAACAGATTTATCGCAGTGGATCGGATGGCTGAGGAGAGAGGAAGGAGATCATTTCAGTCTCTTCTCTCTCTTTGCTCGTTCATTCTCATTTCCCCCATTATTGCATGCTTCGATTGCACGATGCGTCCGTACTTTGGCTCCTCCACACGCTTTTTATGGGATCAAGCTATACCAGAATGCCTCCGTCTGTTCACAACCGTCTTGGGGTCACGTGATGTCAAATACTTGAAAATATTGTGGTACATAAACGCTTCACGTCAAATCAGCAATTCCAAGTGCACATTACACTCTAATCTTCCCCGTTGTAACTATTGCTTGCGGAGAAATGTTTACCAACACGGTTTACTCTAAGCATTTGTCATCCCTTATCCGAAATCAGTGGCACGACAAATCAGTGAGCTGGAACGTAACAATATTGTTGGACGGCTTTGTCACAGTAAAATTTGGGGAATGCATGGTTCGACACGATGTAATTCTCTACTGCGAGAAATCTTTATTGCAAAAGGTGTTCGAGGAAGTGTAATATTGTGGAAATTTAGTGCGCAAAAAGAAATTCAGAATTGATAAGACTAAAAATATATCCTTCGTACGACGTTCGATAATTCGATTACGAATTATTCGATTCGAAGTATAAAGTATTAATACTACGCCCACGACAGTAACATTTTGCATTAACGAGTGAGAAAAGTTAACTCATTTTGTCAGCAGAGAAGAAGAACTTGCGTTGAACACAATGCGTTGATTTATTCGCATCGAAAAAGGACCAGCATAGAATCCACCATGACTTGAGACGTAGTAGAATAAATAAAGGAATAATGACGGTTGTGGCGTGAATGAGCTGAAGGCAGAATCATTTGTCCCAATGCAAAGCATCTCCCGAGAAAAAAAGAAGCAGTTGACACAACTCAACAAACTAACTCGACAAACCAGCCAGGGGCAATGTGAACAGAACTAGAAAGGCGACGATGACGACCCCCTTTTCATTTTTCCTGTCGGTTTTCCCACCCCACCATTACCAATCCCCCTTTGACAGAAACTTGCTTCGTATAGTTTGGTCGAGTTAAGAGGAGCACAATTTTGCCCCATTCTTGCTCCCTGACTTGGTAAACAATAGCAAATAGGGAATAGAAATCATGTCTTTTTTATCAAGCAAAAAAAATTGATTATTCATGCAATGTTTGCAACTGACAAATCCAAACAAGTTATAACTTTCTCTCCGCACGGAATTCCAATTCTTCGCGTGGCGCAATGCAGACAGAACAATTAAGTTTGGCTGAAAATTCGTAATTTCTCGTTATCTCTGCAACATTAGATAGACAAATTGCGGGCTGTGTTAGGTCTAATTGTCTCGGACTTGTTCAGCAAGTAGGCAATATTCACTTAAAAGGGTCCACCACCAAGAAGGACGCTTATCTCATTTCGGTGTTGTGCCCCATCACTCATTCACTTCCATCTATTATGTAACTCGCTGTACGTATGGCACACACAGAGCTTTGGCACGACATCCTTTATACCAAGGCGGCATGAAGCTATGGTATATTCAGCTATCTAATAAGTGTAGAATATTATTTGCCAGGAGGAAGACGGCGAGCAGTGAGGAAGAAAGAAAACAAAATAAAACTCGTCGTCCAGCCCTCCCGACTCTTTTTCGCGTGTTGTTCCCGTTATGTGAACTTAAGTGAGCGGTTGACAGTGGCAAATTAAACAAACATTCCTTTTTGCTACGCATCTCAAAAACTGCACTCTTTTGTCTGCTCCTACTTGGAGACAATAGTACATGTTCAATGGCGAAGAAGAATGCAATCGGGAGGAGGGTAACTAACTAAATACATGGAGCCCAACTTGTGTGAGGCGAATAACAATACTATGTGTCTCACGTTGCATACATATGCAGCACGGAATGAGCAATTAAGCTTAGTTTCGGTTTTTTAAAGTGTCAACCAGCCAGTAAATCCGTCCATGGTGGGGTAACGGAGGAAGGATGACGATGATATGTGTCAGATAAAGATAAAGAAGAAAGAGTGAGCGAGGTTGATTTGGCTCAGTTTTCACTCGGCTTTTTGAGAGAACAAAAGACGAGGAGGGAATGAGAGAAGACTTATTGTGTCCCATACATCTTCTCATTAGGAGCACAACTTATTTGTACTTGGGTTTGTGAGTTTTCTCACTCACAGCTACAGCTAATTTATTGCTTTGATCCGCCTAAAAACTTTTGCTGGGACGGGACAGACGACTCTGACGAGGACGAATATTTGTTGTGCTTTCTCTGCTCCACAGCCAAATTTTAAATCAATAATGTTCCCAGTTTTTTTTTTACAAAGTTTTCCAGATATTGGAGGCGAACTCGTACATAAGTATGAATAAGAGTGGGCTGTATTTGTTGTGGTGTGCATATAAGTAATAGCAGTTGACATTGTTGACGTGGACAAAGGCAATATGCAATAATTCTTGGCGACTTGAATTCTCCTCCTCCTCCTCCTCCTCGTCACTCAACTTTGGTGATGTATTTATATGTATGTACATATTTACGTACGTATGGTTGCGACTCTGTATGTGCAATAATAATATTCTTTTAATTGCAACCATGACATGGTAATAAATAAATATTATGCGATGCTCTATTTGATGATATGTTGTTCTTCTCGTGGGGAAGAGACTGGGAGAAAGCTGGATGAAAAGGAGCGAGCTAAATAAAATAAATCAATATCAATACCAAGTAACAGCCCACGCCAACGCTAAATAAAAGATGAAAAAATCCTCTCTGAAAAATATAGATTTCCAAAGGAGGCTGTTGCTACTCCCAGTTCTAAATTCTAGTTGGATGAGACATAGCGCTGAATCCAGGATTTATTCGCAGATTCTTCGCTCCAGACTAGGAAGTCATGAATCTTTCAACATTTCAACGTTTTAACATTGATCTGTATCGAAATCGAAGAATCTAATGGGAAACTGAGCGAAAGAAAAAGACGACAACTTCGCTTCGGTCCGTGGTCCGTACATACATGGAATGAGCACCTTCTTAAGAAGAGTGCATGCGAGAGTGGGTATCCATCTCCTCGTCAGTCCTGCGCTACTAACCAGCCGAACACGGCTTGTTCCTTGTATGTTTTTCGCTTTGTGAAAGCTGTGGAAACGCCAACAACAACGCCATCAGCGGTGGTTGGTGCCCCCGCGTAAGAAGGAATGCATTACATTGTATTGTTGTGCGAAATGTTTGTTTGTTGTTAACCTCTTTCTCTCTCTCTTTCTCTCTCTCTTTCTCTCTCTCTTTCTCTCTCTCTTTCTCTCTCTCTCTCTCCGAGACTGGAGGATGAAACAGTTGCACTTAAGTCAGAGATAAGTGAGGGGAGAATAAATGGGATGGATGAAGGGGCAAAAAATGCATCTGCTCCTTCGTCCTCAATTCCGGAATTTATCCAACAACACCATCACCACGACGAGTGCTTTGTAGATCTACTCGCTCGCCTAAAGTAAGAATATTGTATTGTGTCCCGTGCCTCCCAGTTTTCTGGTATGTTGTTGTGAGTGAAGAGAAGAAGACTGGTAAAAAAAGCGGAGAAAATTCTTGCTCCGTCTACACAATCCACCAAATTGTTCACAAACTCGAGCCAAAACACACTTGTTCCGAAAATTCATAATGTTTCCAGTTTTTTTAAGTTTAAGTTGTGTCCTGACTGTATGTATGTAACAATAAATGTGACAGAACTAATGTTTACTCTTATTACGTGTTTCCATTATTTTTATGAATCATTTTCATGAGTCCTTAATGTCACTTTTTGCGTGGGTGATTGGCAACGGTTTTTCCCATCAGTGGTGACTTTAAGTATTTAGATGGAGTGGAATATGTAGTGAAAACGTATAAAAATGCTAATAGGTACATGCATGTCTTAAGCGTATAGAACTTTTAGATGATGATTCATTCCCACAAATGTGCATTATAATCCTTATTAAAAGTTCGTTATTCTATCCAATGAATGCAAACAAGGGCATTAAGCTCTTAATGGGTGCAGTACCAGCACAAATTAGCGAATGACCTTTAACAATTCACACTCTGACAATCCCCAGCTGGGTTAAGTTTGGTTGACTCTCAACTGAGCAATTAAAAGAATATTAATGTCGCTACATGGAAGGAAACGGAATGCAGAATGTCGATTCTGCTTAGCACTCAGGCAGTTTTATGTATGTGAGTAAGTACACGGCATCTATTTCTAAATTTTTATAGGGACCGTTGCTCCTCCAGTCGAGTCGTTGTCAGTGTGGAGGAAAAGTAATGTTTGTCCGTTAATTCATACATGCCTATGGCTCGATCAGATCCATATTCAGTCATTACTACTACTACAATAGTACTTTTACCCGACTTTTCCTACGGCTAATCCCAAGCATGACATCAGCATGTTGGTGCTATTCAAACACATCGCCAATAATCGATAATTTTCCCCTTAAGGTAAATATTCGATGAAAGGGTGGAGAATTTAATGTTATGTAGCAGCTTAACTTAAATATTCACACTTCTTGAGGCCATTTGAAATTTTGTATTTGTGATTAGATACCTGAAACTGACAGGCTATGGTAATGTAGCTTCGGCAGTTTCGTTTGTTTAGCCGACATTAAATAATAACTCTGATGATGGCACTTGCAAGTAGTCAAGAAGCCACTCATTACCAGCCAATGATTTGATTATCCTGGTCTAGACTAACTGCGGAATAAGCGTAGGAAACTAAAATTCCGAAAGTACACGTTTGTACTAAAATGTAAAATTAAGGCTTTACGAGGACAAAAAACTGAGCAACTCGTATACGAGAAAAAAAGATGAAGCAAGAAAAACGAACCTTTATTGTCTTGTTTTGTAGTCGGAGGCCGTTCAGAGTGTTGATGGCTTTTTCAGCATCCTCTGCCCGATGATAATTGACAAATCCGTAGCCCAAACTTTGGCCTGAAACGATAGATGCATCTTGATTACTTCCGGAGTTATCTTAAAACAAAAAAAAATATTGGAGCAAAAGTGAAATAATCAAAACAAAACAATGTAATGAATGCTTTTAGGTTTGTATGTTTAACTTACCAGTGATCTTGTCTCGAATGAGTTTGCACGACTCGACCTCTCCAATTGAGGAGAAGAGGGATCGGATCTCTTCCTGTGTCATGGTTTGGGGCAGGTAGTTGACAATCAGGTTGGTCTTGCTCTCCTCCAGACCATTGTTACTCCCATTGTTGGGAGACCCTGCGGAACCCGACATGTTCATCCCGCAGCTTACATTGACCCCATGGATTGACCCATTTGCCTGAGGCGGTGTTGTCGTCACGTCCATCCCGTTCTGCATACTTTCACCCTCTTGCAGCTTAATTTTTGCTTCTTTTTCTAGTAACTGCTCACGCTCAACAAATTTGGAAATTTGGCGCAGGTCCAAAGTTCCACAACGTACGTAGGACAATCTCGTTTGTTTTCTTAAATATGATCAAGTATCTTTCTCGCTTTGTAGTAGTCTGCAAGGGAAAAAAAAGGGGAAATTAAGATAATAAGTTATTGTCCGCAACATTCAGGGCTCATTATTTTCATAAAATACGTTACATTCTACGTCTCACTCACCTTTCTTAAAGTATCTTCTTATCGTATTCTTCTTCTTCTGCGTACATAAATAAGACTTCTTCAAGTAGAAATCCTCTGGTTGCAAGTCCAGGCACAAGCACTCAAGATTTGGAGAAACCAAGCTGCGAACACCCGTTCAACTCAGGCTCATTTATAACCACGTCCACACTTAAATCTGAAAAGGATAAATACAATACTTCCGTTAATACTTTGGTGCACACAACGTTCATTCATTTTCGGTAGGATATTTCTCGCTTTTTTACAACAAAGAACCATTATGAGTGCAAATTCGGACCATCCATTTCTTAAAATAAAAGTTGATGCACCATTAATCATACCGTGTGCAGCAGTATTTACACGATAAATTTATTGTAAGCAACTTTTTAACAACAATTTGTGTTGTACGAGTGCATGTACACTTTCAAGTCAAGAAACCCAGCAGCAGCAGCAGCTTGTCGTCTTAAACCGTCCATACACATCGACCGACAAGAAGTGGTGGTCATAAACATTTCAACACGGCAATTGCTCGAGAAATGATTTAGTCTGTTCTTCCTATCTCCCGTTGATTACATAATTTAGCACTTTCCGATAGCGGAGAGGAGCCGAGCGTATGAGCGTGGTGATGATGTGACGAAGCCAAGAACAAGAGGGAGGAGGTAAGTAGTCAACTCACAGTCCTAAAATTAAATGTCTCATGAACGCAGGAAGTTGGATTTTCGTTCAAATTTTTAGCAACCAAAAGTGATTGCATCTTCTTACTTTATGAACTCTGCGAGCCTCTCTGCCACCATGAAGGAAGATGAAATGGCAGAATGGGGAAGTGAGGTTATAAGTTGGAGGATGATATTATTAGCATATAATTTATGGCTCTGTGCATTCATTTTAATAGGAAACAGGAGAGAATAAGTAAGTAAGTGGTGGAGTGGCAAAGTGGGGGCTGCTTGCAGAGCCAAGTAAAGAGGCAAATTATGCTGAATGACGACGTTAACGTTGGTGATCCACTACAGATCGCATCCGAGAATCAGCTCTCACAAAAGTTCACCAAGTAGAGAAACAACTTTCGTCGTCTTGAGTCATCAAGGATGCCATATCAAAAAGTGCAGTTTCACTACTCACACTTTCTCTGGATGTGTGTATAGATAAATCGCAACGGTTTGAGCATGTATCTTCCTTCCTCTCTCATTCTCACGATATGATGATATGCATTTCTAGGAGGCCTGAGTTTGAATGATGTACATATTTGTTTAAACCGAATCTGTCTCCCTTCACCATTTCCATCCATTCTAAAGTCATTTAACGCTACACAACCGAATTTCGGATTTCCTGCTGTACCAACGCCATTCCCCTCCTGTTCCACCACTGTCTATCCGGCTGTCTGTCCATGCATGCACCGAATATCTTTATTCATTCGATGTCTAATTTTGCAGATTGGATCGCCTCATCCGACCAATCTGTATCTCTCTCTTTCCAAAAGAGTTTTTCTTAGTCAGTCAGCGTCTCTACACATGTTTAGTCAAATCCCAACTGGATCAGATTTTAGATATTAATAGCTTTTGCTCTGATTTCTTACTTCTAAACTTGGATTTCTAATACTTGATTTATTAGCAAAAGTCGCATTTGTTTCCAATTCCTCCCTCTTCCCATTCCATTCCATAATTATATGCATGCAGATTCCCTCTGACACGCGCACTCATAAATAGCGACTACCACTATCTACTACCCTCGCCATATGTGCATAAATATGGTAAGACAGGTAAAAGCAGGAACAGTTATTAAAAAATAGCACACCTCCCAAATTTTTACTACGCCAATATTTTAAAACAATCCGACAGACGCGGGCTGTTTGTTGTTCCATGCATTAAACTCATCCGTCGCAAGTGCCGACTTAAGTATGTAGGTTGAGAAATTGCAATGAAATGCCACATCGTCTTGAAAAGTAGCCCTTTACTCAGTTTTGCAGGAATGAGGAGAGTAAAATAAAGTAAGCGGATGCGATGTGATGGTGGAATAAAATCTTCCGATGAAATTCCCTAAAGAGCGACTGACTTTTCGCAAAGATTGATGGAATCCAACGCAAAGAGGCTGGAAAACGGGGGCATTCTTCCCTCAAAGTAGCACTACTACTCACTGCTCCTCCTCGTAATGTAATGCACGGCAAGACAGCCAGGGAGAGGAAACAAGTACACGCCTGCTGTCTCGATCTACATCTATTATGCATAGGCTTTCTCCAGATTCACCCTTCGATCGGAAACAAGGAGGTAAAGAGTTAGTTGCTTTTGTTTCGGAGGAGGGATGAGAGGAAAGTGCGACCAGTGTGTGCATACGATTTATGACATGAAACGAAACTGGGCACAATTAAATTTATTAAATGCTGCTGCTCCTTCCCACTAAAGAATTCTGGACGTCAGCTTGGTCAGTTAGGGTAACGACTCGAGATGAACTTTTCATTAAATCTTTGTCCATTAGAGCCCTTTCATGGCCCCACTTTAAAAGGCTGATATTCTAACATTCCAAATGCAAACCTTCGTCTTTACAAATGCTATTTCAAATAATCACACAACATTTTTCCATGAAATCTAAGGTCACTTAAAAATTAGTTCAAGTTTGGCAATAAGTAAGTGATCCTAGTATGTTATACATACTTAGCGTGACCAAATCCTTCATTACTCTTAATATATGCTCTTTATGTGTTGAGGACGAGTTGAAGTCTGAATTATGCACGTAATAAAATAAAAGACGATTCCAGCAGCGTTTGAACGGTTTTTGAAGCGTAGCAAGATTCAGCAAAGTCGAATAAGTAAGTTATCCTAGCGGTGGTGATGGTGAAACTATTGTTCAACTACTAACATTAACGGTTAAATCCTCAATTTCGTTTCATCTCATCTCATTAAATGAAATTTAGAGTTGGAATGGATGATCGTCCAGAAACTTTGAAGATAGTAAAATATGTCTAAAATTGCTCCTCGCATTCACATTGGATTTCTCTCATCCTCACTTTTATCAATGATATTTAGATTGTAAAAAGGAATTTAGAAATCCTGCCCCAAAATGCCCAAAAGACCCGTTTCTTTCGCTTTGTGCCTCTGGCAGCCATCCCCACTGCTGAATTGTCATTATTATACATACAAGGGCTCTTGTTCCTGGTTCCTGCTCAGCCACCGAAATGGGGAAGAGAATGCCCATGAGATATAGACAACGAGCCATTCTGCGGGTACTGGGCTTCTACTCCCCGCTACGGGAGCTCATGGTCTTATCCATGATGATTATTTTAATTCCGCTTCAGTCCCAATTGTGTTGTAAAGGAGGAGCAGGGCAGTAAAATGCAGTGAAAAAGTGAATCACGTATGTGCACACTGTGATGAGTCCAAACCAGGACGAGCTACGGAGCAGCTATCTTATTCAGTAGAGCTATAATTGGTTGATTGGTACGACATGGTTGTGAACTTTTTCGAGAGGAAAGAGCAAGAACAATATGGGGACAACGTTGACCTAAAACCAGGACGAAAGCAAGATCCACTCTTAATGAAACGCACTTTATTACTTACTTGTAGTCTATGGTAGAGTATTACAGTCTTTGGAAAATCACAGTGTTGCAACAGCAAAACATGAGCGTAAATGTCTCAAAGAGGTATTTCTTCGTAATTTGTAGTAATTTCAGAAGTCTGACTAGATTTCATAACCAAATGCTTCCAAAAAAGAAAGGAATGAGTACGAAATGCAGGACTAGATTTATATTCTCCTCAACTCAAAGGAACTCAGCTGAAACGTGAACAGAAAAATTGTAAACTGGATAAACTGAGCAAACTGATCAAAATGAATGTAAACTTGAAATTGAGGAGAACTCGGGAATGTGACGACCAAGAGTAACGAAACACCAAACTAAACTGAAGCCTTTTATCAGGGCTTTAACATCATTTCCACCCTCCAGTCCGGGATCCGGGCTCGATCCATTCCAATATTTACCAATTATTTCATACAACCAAAAACCCACCACTGCTCCTGGCACTGGTGACGACGACCCTTGAGAGGGACTACACAGCCCTTGCTATACGATGTGTATAGTGGGAACAATGCGTATGTACATGGATCAAAACCACTCCGACCAACCCGAGTAGCCCTCCTACTCATTATGTTCTCAGAGCACAATGTGCAGTCGTTGTGGCTGTTCATGAATTCAGAAAGGAATTAAGTATGCCAACCTTATGAGTGAAAGTTATCATAAGAACTGCAATGTGAACATTTGCAGATAGTTTGCATATTTGCCAAAATTGCGACAAAAGTGTATACGTCACAGCTAACTTAAGTTCCTTCGAAATTGCAAAACGCACAAAATCCATGTACACCCCAAGCCCCGATATAAACCAACAACGGACAAATGCCTCCTCGTGGAAATAAGGCGACCGGGTAGTAGGAAGGACTTTGGGGTTCATGACATAACGAGAAGAGCCGCTGCCAATGCCCTCGCTCTCTCTCTCTTCCCATATTAATAATCCTGAATTCAAGGCATGCCCTTTAGAAGAGCAAGTACGAGAGTATAAGTGAGTTCATGTGTTATAAATTTATGTAGGGACGGATGAAAAATGGAAAATATCTGGCCATTGTCTACTTCATTTTTGATTGGGAATGTGTGAGCTACCCCATTTAAGTATGTACCATTTGCGACCAGATGGAAGAACACAAGGCGCAAACATAGTCATCCTTATTGCCCTACCCATGTCACCCACCTTCCACACTTTTCTCAATTCTTCACCGTCGAAAGAAATCTGCAATCTTCAATCACAAACTTTCCAAATTGTAGGACAAATTGTGAGACGTTGTAACAACTTTGTCTACCCACCCGCATCCTTGTTTTATGTTTTCACTCAACTCGAGAACTTTTGGACGTGGACAAATAAGTGGTGAATCGCGTCCTACAGAAGGAATTGTTTCGTCTACTTCGTGATGAGAATTTAAATGCAGGGAGAGGCGGCCAACATGCAGAGTGCTTCGTTACGATAGGACGACGACTACTTTTTCTCCGCTGGGCTCAGTCGCATTTCATTATTATTTTGGTGTACTGCGTGGAATTGAAAGTCATTGTGATGATAAGGGACATGGTTTCGAGGAACTGTGTGTAACTTAACGAGTTCGAGTAACAATCAAGAGACAAAATATACGGAAATATATGTGAATCGATGCTAAAAGTACCTATTGCAACTCCTTTTCTGTAGTTTTGGCCATTTAAATAATGAAATTGTTTAGTAACAAATACCCCCACGTAGTGTGGACACTGCGACTCGTACTCGAAACAAATGACGCATCAGAATTAAAACTTGATTTGTATCTCGGTCTAAATCTCATAATTCCTTATTTTTTATTCTCTGTCCGATAAAAGCGAAAGATTAAAGTGCAGTCGTGCCAGACAAGCAGACGGGCCTTTTTTAAAGGGGTCTCCTGCCTCCCAGCTTCCGTTCATTCAACCCAAACAGTCTCCAACCCTTCCTTCTTTCTCTCTCCTTGGGGAGACTCGTGCAGTAGTGGTGCTAAATCCGAGGGATAATAATAAAGGGTAAAATTCGAGTCTCCCATTAGCTCCGGTCCAGCTTAATTTTAAAACGGTGCGTCTACCTACGTACGTACGTACGGATAGCCATACATAATGCAGCGTGGAGAAAAAGCGAGCACGAATCGAGGTGATGGAGAAAGAAAGTGTTCATCACGAGTGGAATAGTGATGTAATAGATGATGTTGCAGAGGGAACATTATTAAGCTTCGCCTCGGTTTATTAGGAAACCCTTCACCCTTCAATTACCATCCAGCTACGTACACACATGATTTCATAGATTTGCTCCCTACACATTTTTTTACTCGCTTACTCCCGATTTCTCCACGCATCCATCCACCTTTTTGTTTCTCGATATGAGTGCGAGTATTAAACATCCAGTTGCAATACATCTGCTGCTTCTGCTGCTGGCGACTAGTTTATTGAAGACAAGACGATGTTGTATTACTTGGAAACTGCTTCACGCCGTTTCTCGTTTCATATTCTGTAGCTGTGCAACAAAATGTGTGGATCATGTGCAAAAAACTGGAGCATGAAGTCGACTGAGAAACTGCACCACCGAGAAAGAACGCATCATCATAGAAATATCTATCTATTCGTTGGATGGCTGGCAACGGGCAACCTTTGGGCAAGGAACAGCTGATGGAAACGACAGATGTGATGTAGGATGGATAACCATCCAACTCTGCTCTCTCTCCTTCTACACGTGCCTTCCTTTTCTAAACGGTTCAAACCTTTTAAACCTTTAACCATAACATCAGCACCAGAGCAGCAGAGTAACGTGGCTCACTAAAAACTCACCGTTACGTAAGCAAGCATGCTCCTGCTCTGAGCACAGCTTAACTAAACTGCATATCGCATAAAAGTGTAAACCATTATCTTCAACAAACTCTTATGGACTCATCTAACCGTGCACAAGATTCGACTCGTGTTCTCTCCAAAAGATGAAATGAATGCATATCGTCTGCATTCAAAGCTTGGGGAGATGATCGATATAAATATAAATATTCGCATCCTTCACCAACAACCGACATGATATGATGCAGGAGAGGAAAGTTTATGGTTCTTTGAGAGAATTCGGGTTTAGTTCTTCATTTGGTACCAAACCACACACCGCACCGGCAAGCAAGTAAGCAACGCCGTGTTTCACCCGACTCGCCAAATATCTCTCTCTTGCCATCACCATTCCCCCATCTTCAACTTCGGATACATAAACTTGAGCCTAAATATATCTGAACTGGTGGTGAATAGACATCAAACCATATCGGAGACGTGTTTAATAACCAATGCGCCCTCCTGTTTCTCAAATGCAACATTTTGAGACAAATAATAATCTCTAGAATTTCATGCGAGATCGTTTAAAATCCGATTAAATCATAAAAAGACTTGATCCTTCAAGTGTATGTACACATCGTCATCAAAGAAGTATAAAATTGCTGAAAGGTTGTCCTTAAAATTTACATATTTCCTCGCCCGCTTACCAACTTTAGTAAGATCCGAAAACCTTTGTGTATGTAGGGTTTGTATAGTCACTGAAAACTTCACTCTTCTTATCTCTGTTTTGTTTTGCTCACTTAAGATATCAAATTTCAAAGGTAAACTTGGAAGCTTATGAGCACAATTGGCAAAGACAATTGGCAGCTAAACAGAGTTCTTGGTTGGTTGGTTGAGTTGACAGTCAGTCAGTCAGAACTTGAGACTCGTTCACTGATTAGAATTTACTCAACCAGTCACTACTACCAAAAGACTGGATTTTGGTGGAGAGAAAGAGAAGAGCTTGTTTTGTTCTAGGGAATATTTTGAACAGTAAATTTCTCGAAAATTAATTCACCTGTTCAAACCACACATAGAATCAACTGGTAGGGTAATTCAAGAGCCTGTGAGTTGTTGTCAGAGTGTATGTATTTATATTTAGTTACAGCAAAGTAAACTAGTAGAGTTATGGATGGATTGGGGCGAGTTGACACTTGTTAACACTTGAACAACGGCTTGTTCACCTTAAAAACTGTCCGTCCGGCGGAGGAGAAAACTTTGTAGAAATTTTCCGGAACACTTTTAAAAAGTAGTTTAAAAAATGTATCACTTGCACTCTAGTCGTGTAATGTAATCTCCTACGGCGATGTTGGCTCCAGTTTCTCTCATAAACTATGAACGGGATGCGAATAAGTAATTACAGTGAGGAAAATTGTAGTAGCAGTAGTAGTAGCAAAGAGGTACAACGAATTTTGTTTCGCTTTTTTTTGTCAGTCTGTAAATGCCATGTGCCTTATTATTCTGTTGTTGAGGTTGTTTCTTATATAAAATTAGCAAATAACAATTCCCTTCATGTCAAACAACCAGCGCGTGCTGAGAGGATGATGTTGAGAAAACGCCGGCTTTCTTCTGCTTCTTCTCTACTTTCTTTCTTTACAGCTCCTCTGTTTCAAAACTTTGGCATTTCTCGTATCAACAATGAATGTGGTTATGGAACACGCAGTCAGAGCTGTTTTTTTGTCACTCTCTCGTATTTTAAAATTTTCCTTGCTTTTTGTGAAAATGGAAATATGAAATTTCTTCCGTCCAAATCTCTCTTTTTTGTATGCAAACTCGTCTGACTCTTTTGCCAAGAAGTTGAGATTTTCTGTATTTTTCTCAAGAGAGACTGGAATAGTTGGCGTGTGTTTATGTGTGTGTGTGTGGGAGTGGATATTATTGGTTGGTCTGGGTGGACTACAACGGAATGAATGAAGGAGGACAGAAGAGGAAGAGTGAATAAGTAGACGAGACTTAATCGGATGTGACCGATGGAACAGAAGTCACAACTCACAAGTACAAAGTACAAGTGCAAACTATAGAATTATAGTAAGAGGAGACTAAGAAAAAAGTGATAATTTCGCTCCACGGTCACCAGTCAGCACCACGGACTTCCCACTACTGAGCCCAGCTCCTCCGGTCCACCCGCTAATCTTCGCCCGACGCTGCACACGCTCACTCCGCCGCCACCGCCGCCGCTTCCTCCTTAAGACACAGACTCTCATGCCATGCTTACGTCCATCCATGCACCATGCCGAGCTGCTACCCGGGCATCACACCGACCCTCACCGACTCCAAAAACCTCCTTCAAGATTTCCCTTCTCACTCACAATTCGCAACTGAAACAAGGAGCATCATCCCCACACCAGCAGAACGCTGGCGATACCAGGAGTTTCTCTCTCCTTGGTGGTGGGTGGGCGGTCGAGTGACTTTTGGCGTTTACATACCTGACCCTTTGGGCCTTCAGCCGCCTTTCGAGGGGGGTGAAAGTGGGATAATTTGCACATTTTTTTTCAGACGGTCTGAATTGTAAATTTGCGAGACTATAAATCCCCCAGTTTGGCGAGTCTAAACTTTTGCAAAAATTTGTATGAAAAATCTATTGAATTCATACGAGATAAAGGAGAGAAAAGGAGAGAGATCAGATAGGCATGGATACATTTCCGGGTTTCTAGTTATCACACCTTTCAGCAATAATAATGAGAGTAGGAGAAGCGAGTACAATGCCAACTACATGGTTCTGATTATACCTTTTCTGTAGCAAACCGTGACGAAAAGAAAGTCATGAAAGGTGAGGATATGACTTTTTTCTCATCCGAGAGTTGTAACTTGTTCACAAGAAATCCTGTCTGTATTCATTCCAGTCAACGTGTAATAAGGGAGCGAGGGATCGCATCCCATTTGCTTAATTCGGAATATAGACAGGTAATAATGATAGGACGAAGAGTGCTGCGAGGTTGAATGAAGGCCAGAAAAACGGATTCGAATTTATTCCACACAAAGTTCGGCTCAAACCCTGCTCCCGATGTTCCTTGCTCATAACAAGCAATGCTATTCTTTAGAACTCTTTAGCATAATTCCATCATATTTAGCTACCGTTTCTCTCTAAGGAGCTTTCCCACAAAGGCTGAAGAGAAGGAGGAGGGAGAAGACGGAGAGAAAATAAGATAGCTACGCGGGACCACAAGACATTTCATCATTGGGCTCATTTCCCAGCCAAACTTTCTCTCCTACAGACTTGGCTCTTCTCATGCCAAGCAGATTTTCCCAGTCGTTGCATGGCCCACTGAGATTGGAGACTAAAATTTGAATGGGAATCACAGCCAAGTCAAGCTTAGGCAGAGACTCTGCGAGAAAACCAACGGGTATAGAACACTTATTAAGGAATTATTGAGCCTGCTGCATACATAACTCTACCCTTTCCGTGTTATGGCGAAACCTAACAAAATTTGGGACATGGTAGAGAGAGTCAAAAGTGAAAGTGAGAAGTATGGTCGTGATCACAATAATGTCATGTTGATGTTCTTCTTGTCCGAGTGAAAAGAAAGTCAACCAGAGATCTTGGCATCTTTAAATAAAATATTATCATACAATGCGACAAATGTTATCTGTTTTCCCCATCCTTTACAGAGTTCGACTTGAACCTTATCAATTTCATTCAATCATTCGCTCCAGACATCAAAGGCGCAGAATGTACAGATTAAATTCCCCGTTTGGCCCAAGTACAATAAGGACTGAGAAGAAGAAGGAGGTGAGGGCGACGAGAAGGGGAAACGCTGCTGCTGCTGCTGTTGCTTTGGAGGTTTTGCTCGTGGTAGCGGAAATGTCCATGTCTTTGTCGATAACAGACCAATGCAATATATATTCCGGCCGTTCCGTCGTCCCATCATAAGACAAGAACAGTCCATAAATCATGTAATTAAACACCAAGCTTGTGGTTTTCAGTCGGAGAAAATAAACGGATTGGAGATACAGCCTTCACAATTAGTCAGCCTGCTCCCATGCTACGTTCCTTACCTACGCATACATATATTATGATTTGTATCATCTGCGCGACCCCAACACTTGTGTACGTATTTACATTTTACCTTATAATAAATCATATATTTTTATACGTTGGACTTATTTACGCTTAACAAATTTGCGACGTGTTGTTCCGTATCCATACATATTTCAAAATACGGGAGCATTATTTGTCTTTACTGACAAACGACGGAGACAAAATCATTAAACAGTCGATGAATCATCCTCCTCCAGCAGCAGGAACTTATTAATCTGGTCTGTTCTTTCTCTCGCTTCTCCAGCAGAGCAAAATAATAATGGGCTAGTTTGTTATTATTTCGGTGAGTGGTGTATCGGAGTAGTCACACAGTGGGGACTGGTATATGAGGAAAGTGCAATGCAGCTGGAAGAGTGTAGAAGTGGTGGTGATGGAAGATTGGTTCTTTATTCCACTCCATCAATCATCATTCCATTTCAAATTTTCAATACCCACTTTGCCAAAAAATTCATCTCCTTCATCAACACTCTTCGTCACGGAGGCAGCCAAACCATGGCGTGCTCAACCGAGGCGTCATGCCCTGCTAGCGACCAACTTGCCTTTGTTTCTCCTCTTCATTCCACATTCCGAGGAGCCACCAATCTATCATCCGACTAATGCATCCCTCTCTCTCTCGCTGCTCATCAGCAGTGAACTTTAATTGTCTGAGTGTGCGTTTCTAGATTTGATGTTGTTTTTAATAATGACGCCTTTAATGCTGGATTTGCAATGCATTCTCCTCAGTCTTTTTGTACCGTAGATGCATGTGCATGTGCCTGCATGCCATCTCATCATGCGAATCACACCATTTCACATAACCAGAGCTATGAGCAGGGTAGTGTAATGTAAATGTCCTTTGTAATGTCAACACATTGCATAACAAGGTGGGAAACACATACTCATTTGAATATATGTGTTGCATGGATGTACATATGCAAAGGGGGGAGATGAGTTTTTGTGTAGAGAGTGAGCCGGAGAAGATAAGCCACTGTCATGCCAAGCCAAGAAGACCAAGAGATGTGTTCAGCACAAATATTTGTTCGTTGTTGGAAGAAATGTGTCTTCTGATGTTGCTTGTGTCATCGGAATGCAATAAGAATTTAGAAGATGGGCCAAAATTGGCACACGCGCTGACACTTTCCTTCTTTCTAAAGTGGATTGAACACTTTGTATTTAAACGCTGATGGTGGTTTCTCGTTAATATTAGTCGCTAAAATGTGTACCACACCGGTAATAAATAAATCCTGGGTTTTTTAATTGTGTCAACTTGTACAGATTGAAGATTGCATAAATTCCTGAGACAAATATGGGGAGAGAGAAATTGCATACACTTGCCCCCAACCAGTTTATTCTTGTTTGCACCTCTAATTTTATCTTGTCTACGGATTTTTAAACATATTGGCTTCTTTAGTGTATTTATTAGCACAATGCTCTCATAAATATGTGAATATGCCATGTCTAAGGATCTGTAGCCATGAAATTGCTCACTCGTTTAATGCTGCATTATCTTGCAGCATTAATATACACATGTACGCACGTAAGAATGGGGTGGTAATATTCAAGAGGGAAAATATAACTGTTATTGTGTGGAAACATGCGGCCGTCGAAGAAAGAAAGAAAGGATATGAAGACAGGTGTGAAATGTCTCGATTTGAGCAAAGAGGAAGATACTCACTCGCTATTTTCCAGTCTCTGATTATACGACCAATTTCCTCCCATCAAAAACAGTGTGAATTCGATTTCTCAATTCGTGACTTTTAATTTCCTCCCCTCACATCACTATCAGACATCACCAACAGACCAATACCTAATTATTCTTCCCATCGGAAAATACACACGATTCACAATAGTATCATCTCTCACATTTTATGGGCAGAGTACTTCGAAAAATGACCCGAATCTACCCAGCTCAGCAACAAAAAGAGTGAGGTTTTTCGTTCAGGAGAGGACATCAAGGGATTGGAATTTACTTTTAAAATATTCATATTTCGCAGGATTTGATTTTAAATTGGAGCCCGCACTCGGTTTTTCGAACGAAATCAAATGTCAAAAAGTGAAGCCCGTGTAAAAGTGGTTTTGCGGCCGTGTTGATGTGAGGGTGGGTGGTTGGGTTGGGGAGAAAGAATCATTTTGAGATGAAGGAAAGTTGTTGCCTTGTCTAAATAGCGTAATATTGCTGACAATGCGATGGTGTGAAGTGTAACCCCCCGATTTGGTTGAAATTTTGAAATTAAGTGGTCCATGTCAATACAACCAACGTTTCTTGAGGCAGTTTGTGCGATGGTCAGAATTTGGCAAAATATTTGAGGTCAAAGTTGAAAAACGGGCGGTTTTTACCAGGCGGAGGAAGCAAACTCAACTTCCATTCTCTTCCCGTGCCAAAAATTACACATTTTTCAACTTTACCCTCAAATATTTTGCCAAATTCTGACCATCGCACAAACCGCCTGAAGAAACGTTGGTTGTATTGACATGGACCACTTATTTTCAAAATTTCAACCAAATCGGAGGGTTACACTTTACACCATCGCATTGTGAGTCTTGAGAAGTGATATCATCCATCTCGCCGGCACAAGACGAAGAAAGAAATTGAAGGAGGATGTTCGTTCCTTCCTTGGTTCGTAGTGATGATGGTGGTTTTGGTTGATGGTGGAGAGAGTCCATTAGGTAAATTACTTTTTTAATCTCGCTACAACTCAAAACAGTCGTGCAGACCCCGAGAGTGAGAACAAATCAACCATCAATCTATCACCACACACACCACAGACAAGTGAGTCACAGGGAATAGTGCGGAACCAATGTGCACACAAACTTTCGCAAAAAATAAAAAATTCTTCCCCTTTTTTTAATATGTAAGAGAACATTTATCATTTAGTTTAGAGTTTTAAGATTTTACTATCCCCACATTTTGGAAAAAATATTTTGTGTCACACACATTTGATAATTACAATCTTTGTATATAATTGAATATGAGCTCTATTAATTGTATTGAATGTTTATAAAGAGATGTAAAAATTAGGAAATAATTTTCTATGCTGAAAGTATTAATTTGTTTATGCACGATATTTGTAGCAAACCATTCACTTTTACTT